TTGATGTATTTTTTTGTGTGTGTGTTGACAGTTTCTTTGTTCCACTTAATTTTCTGTGCTGAGTCATTTTTCTTTATGAATTTTCATCTTTTGCACTGTTGTTGATTTTGTTGCTGCTGAGTCTTTATGTTTTTCTTCTTTTTTATTTTGATGTGTAGGATTGTTAATTTCCTTTGTGGCTACCTTAATATTTACCTATATTTTTCTAAGTTTATACCAATCTTTTATTACTTTTTTTTTTAATGCTTTAGGTCAAAGTTTACAGCTCAAGTTAATTTCTCATACAAAAATTTATACACGTTGTTATGTGACCCCAGTTGCAATCCCCACAATGTGACAGCACACTCCTCCTTTCCACTCCAGGTTTCCCGTGTCCATTCAACCAGCTCCTATCCCTTTCTGCCCTCCCATCTCACCTCCAGACAGAAGCGGCCCATTTAGTCTCGTGTATCTACCTAAACTAAGAAGCACACTCCTCACAAGTATTATTTTATGTTTTATAGTCCAGTCTAATCTTTGTCTGAAGAATTGGCTTCGGGAATGGTCTCAGTTCTGGGTTAACAGAGAGTCCAGGGGCCATGTCTCCCAGGGTCCCTCCAGTCTCAGTCAGACCATTAAGTCTGGTATTTTTATGTGAATTTGAGTTCTGCACCATACTTTTCTCCTGCTCCATCAGGGACTCTCTGTTGTGTTCCCTGTCTTGACAGTCACTGGAGGTAGCTGGGCACCATCTAGTTTTTCTGGTCTCAGGTTGATGGAGTCTCTAGTTTATGTGGCCCTTTTGTCTCTTGGGCAGAAATCCGGGGTGGAAAGGAGGAGTGTGCTGTCACATTGTGGGGATTGCAACTAGGGTCACATAACAATGTGTGTATAAATTTTTGCATGAGAAGTTAATTTGAGCTATAAACTTTCAGCTAAAGCACAATTAAAAGAAAAAGAAACGTTCCTCAAAAGATCTTACCTTCCTCACTCTTTAAACACCCAAATTTTAAATTCATATATTATCTACCAGAAAGCCAGAGTTTCTGCTTGAACTTCCAGGCCTATATATTACTGCAGAAGATGGAAGCTCTTTATGGTGACTATTGCCATGGGCTTCTCCTTTGTCTGTCCTGCCACTTTAGACTCAGTCATAAAGACCACTAATTCTCTGGTGAAAATAAAACGGGAAGAATAAAGGGCTATTCGAAGAAGGCAAAAGAAACAGACTAACAATTAACTGAGCCATACATAGCCACTGCCCACTGGCATCAAGTCAACTTTGACTATAACTCTAGTTAAATCTACGCTTCACCCTCTAGACTTGAATGGAGCCTAGAATGGAACCTGGATGACCTCACCCCCCGGGAACCCCGTCTAAGGTCCCCATCTCCTCTGACCTCACTGGTATGCCCAAATATTTCTGCCTGCGCTCAGACAGCCTTAAATTTTATGTGTTCTATATATCTTGCTCTCCGCATGACCTGGTGATATGATAAAAACAACGGTCTAAGTATACGATAAGTGCTTTGCTTTGCCTTTCGTTTTCTATATAAACTATAAACCCCCAGCTTTCCTTTGTTTGGGGGAGCACTTCCTAGTTCAAATGGGACTCTGCTGCCTGATTCATTAATCTTTTCTGAAACCAAATAAACTCCTTAAATTTAAACTTAACTTTATCAGAATTTTTCTTTTAATTGCTAAATTGTTTAGTGTCTAAAAGTCGTAATGATTTTTGGATATCCACTTTCAATTCAGAAAAACCATTGAACGCTAACATTAGTTCTATTATTATCTCTCTTTAGATTCTCTTGAATATTCCATGTAGACAATCATATCATGGGCAAATCATATCATAGGTTAATAATGATACATCACCTCCTTTATAATTTTTATTCCCTGCATTACTTTTTCTGGTCTTATGCCTTGGCTAAGACCACTAGTAAAACGATGAATAGTAGGTGACTGTGGGCAACATTTTAAATTTTCACTGCTAAGTGTAACACTTGACAGACACGTGGTGGAACAGATACTCTTTAAGAAGGTGCATTTGCAATTATAGTATGCTAATATTTAAAAAATCATGAATGATAATTTTTAACTAATTTCTATGGCATCTAATGTCATAGTCATATAATATTTCTCCTTTACACCATTAATGTGATGGTTTACATTTATTTATACTTATCCTAATGCTGAACCATCTGTATAATCTTGGGACAAACATTACTTTTTTTATATACACTGCTAAATTTAGTTGGCAATATGTCTTTTTTCAAATTTCTGCTTCTGTGTTCATAAGCAAGATTTGCCAGATGCCGTATCACCTCCTTTTACTTTCTGGCCATCTCTTCTCTCAATGCTCGTATTTTGGCCTTAGGATCTTTCCTGACAGCTGTAACCATTTCATTATTCATGGAAGAATATTTTTACAATATTCATGAACTGTGTGGCAACTGTTTTCTGTTAAGTTCTCTTTATCTGTAGGAATATGCTGCCCTGGTTTGCAAATTATTTTCTTACAGTAGCTATGTGTTGTTGTTAGGTGCAATCGAGTCAGTTCCAACTCACAGTGAGGGACCCTGTGTACCACAGAACGGAACAATGCCCGGTCCTGTGCCATGCTCACACTCGTTGCTATACTTGAGCTCACTGTTGCAGCCACTGTGTCAATCCATCTCACTGGAGGTCTTCCTCTTTTTCACTGACCCACTACTTTACCAAGCATGATGTCCTTCTCCAGGAAGGATCCCTCCTGATAACATGTCCAAAGTACCTGAGACAAAGTCTCACCATCCTTGCTTCTAAGGAGCATTCTGGCTGTACTTCTTCCAAGACAGATTTGTTTATTCTTCTGGTAGTCCATGGTATATTCAATATTCTTTGCCAACACCATAATTCAAAACAGTAGTAGCTATGTGAAGACAGCCAAAGTCTCTTGTGGTTCTTGCCTAATTGCTCATACTTGAAATCAGATCCATTTTTTCTGGACCAACTATTAGCAAGAGACTGCTATGGGTCAAGAGTAGATTTCACATCTCTAGTCATTCTTTTTGGTTGTTACAGAAACTGGCTGTTTCCTTAAAATATAGCACCTCCATGTAAGCCATGCCTCCTTTCTCTTGCAGAACTTAACCAAGTTGAGGTGGGCTTCGACCACTAAATCTTCACTCCCCTGATTTTTTCGTGAGCCACTGCCACCAAGAGACACAATCACTACCTTCCAAAGTAAGCCACTCGTATTAGAGGGTTAATCTTTACCTGTACTTTCTGAGTCTGCAACCTTCAGGCCCCTCAGCACTGTCTGAGCATGCTTTTGCCAGCTCCCTAGGACAAAGGGCCCTTCCAAAAGGTCCTGCTGGTTTCAGCTGCTGCTGGCCAAAGTCACGGGAGTAATTCTGGAGTATGCCATTTTCTTGCCTTCCAGTTATTTGGAAATTAACTTTGCAGCGGTTTCGCAGTTGTTCTTTACCTTGTCCTTAATTTCCAAGAGGAAAATTTCAGAATTAAACGAGTTCTGAAAGCTTTCTTTAAACCATGCTCCAAAGAAAAACTTTAATATGAAGGATATAATAACCTCATAAATGAAGTTGAGGGAGTTTTCTCCTTTATTATTTCCTGAAAGAGTCTGATTAAGAGAGGGATAAATGCTTCATGAGCATTTGTTTAAAGATGACTCAAACAACTATTGGGTCTGTGGTCTTTTTTCAGGATGATATGAAATTCCTAATTAAATTTATTAAATGTTTACTGGTTTAATGTGGCTTCATATTTCTTCTTGAAATAATTTTTGTTATATTTATCAAGACATCTGTTCTTTATATATATATTTTTAAATTCTTTGAATTTTAAAAACTTTGAATTTTAAGGACTGTTTCTAGAGGTATTTGTATTTTTTATTTTAATCTTATTTGTGATTTCTCTTTTTTCCCTTCATCAGCCTTACTAATTATGCATATCCCATTAATGATTTCACAGAGATGGCTTTTTTTAAAGCACCCTCTTTCTATTTCATTAAAATACTTTTTATCCTTAATCTCATTTTATATTTTATTCTTATATTATCTTAAATTGAACACTGAAATCACTTTGGAACTTTGTGTTTTTAATAAATGAATTATGGCCCCACAATTGCCTGAAAGACTATATACACACTTGAGCAATATCTCAGAAGTTGGGACATATTCTACTTTCATTGATGTTTTAGTTCTACATGCTTCATAATTCCTATTATTTTCTATTACACTTTTACTTCCTGGTTATTTTAAAGTGCTTTTTTGGCTTACAAACATGGTTTTGTTTTTTATTCATATATTGTATTGCTAATTTCTAAATTAACTACCTTAATAACGTAAGATATGATATGGAATCCATATCACATCAGTTTTTCAAATCTGAGCACCTTTTCTTTGTGATGAATTTCATGATCAAATTTTGTAAATACCCTATGTGCTTGAAAAAATGTACACTACTTGTTGAGTGTAAGGTTTAAATCACACACACACACACACACACACACACACAAACACAGATATGCCAACATATAAAAGATATAACTTTATGATGTTCATTTCCTTAATTTTTTTTTTGGTCTTGTCTACTGATCAATTGCTGACAGAGGTGTATTCCGTAACGGTTGTTGATTCTTTCCATTTCTACTTGTAGTACTCTCAATTTTTGCTTAATATACTTCTAAGCGATTTTCTGAGATGCATGGTATGTTTTTTGATGCCCCTAAATATTACATTGTAACTCTTTATATCTCTAATAACTTTCTTTTTGCCTTAAATTCTATTTCCCTCTCATTAACACGGCCTCACCATCGGTGCAACAGTTTCCTGGAGGGAGTTGCAGTCAAAAACTCAGACTATATCATCTAAGTTCTAAAAAGTTAATTCTTCCCATTAGGATTTGATTTCCATTATAGGAAAGTTCTGGCTCGTTTTCTTAATATTATACAACATATACTATTATATGAAACCTATGAAACATGAGACAAAAAGTCCAACGTGACGACATACCAGAGACACCATGGCCCAACCAGTCTTGTTGTAGATGAACTCCAGGTTGTTCCTTCTTAAGTAGAGCAAACCGCCAACAAGTGACACTAACAAGGCCAGAGCAATGGTGCCAGAGTAGTTGGGTGGTCTGAAGACCCGAACCTGCAAAATGCAAAGAAAATATTTTAAGTACAAGAGAAACAGTATTAATTATTTCCCTTGATCATATTCTAGTTCTGCCATTCTTCAATACAAAGAACTCAGTATTGTGCCATCCTTACTTTTCATACTAGGCACTACCACTTCTTTTACTCTCTGTAAGGGTTAACGAATCCTTACGAGAGTTACAAATCCTACAAAGCCTTAACACGTGATGGCTTTCGTACATGCTACAACATGGATACACCTTGAAAGCATTAAGCTAAGTGAAAGAAACCAGTTACAAAAGACCACACGTTACGATCCCGTTCTTACGAAATGTCCAGAATAGATGAATCTACATACACGCAAAGTAAATCAGTGATGCTTAGAGCTGGAGGGGGGTACAGTGGGATATTAGGGTGATACCTAAAAGACACAAGGTTTCTTTCTGAGGTGATGGAATTATTCTAAAAATGACGGGGACGATGGTTGTACATATACGTGATATACTAAAAACCAATGAATTATACAATTTAAATGGGTGAATTGTATAATATGTGAATTAGACCTCAATATATGATTGAGATACAATTATACCTGTTAAAAAAGAAAATATCCTGTGTAAAAAGACTGTACTTCATTTAAGTGAATACACTTGAGCATATGCAAACCTTACTTATATAGCTCAACCCAGAGCCGCTCTGGTTCAACCTTGGAACATGAGATCAGCTAGAAAAAGGTAGGGATAGAGAGGGGTGCAATATTTGTATTATTTCATATTCAAATTTTTTTTTTAAAGGCTGTTTTTAAAAAGTAGATCTAACTGGTGTGAACTTATGATTTCTAAAAGATGTATAGAACTTGGTCTTTAATAAGGTTTCCCACCAAAATAAACCAGGACTCCTAGAAAAAAATGACAAATGAAGGGCTGGGACAGGGTAAACACAAGATGAGCCTGGGATATTTTGTTATGCCAGAAAGTAAGAAAATTTGTTAAAAAGTGATAGAGGTTATGTCATAAGAACAAAGGAGTCAGCATGAAGGAGCTCCTACTGGTCAAATCTAGGATTGTTTCAGCACTAAAATAATTAAGTGTAATGAATTACAAATATATGAAAAGATGAGCTCCCTGAGTCAATACCGTGCGTGTCTGTGTGTGTGTCTGTGTGTGTGTGTGTCTGTGTGTCTGTGTGTGTGTAAGAGAGAGAGAGAAGGGAAGGGGTCTTGCTCACAGTAGAGTGCTGAGAGCCCAGAAGAAATGTAGAGGGAGTGTGAGAACTGGAATACCATCCATTTTCAACCATCATGGTGAAGACTGCATTAGGTGTGCATCATCAATGGATGGTAAATCCAGGGGAAGATTTTCATGAGGAGGGGGATATTGCATGATCCTATGGTGTCTCCACACTGACACTTTACAAGGAGAAAAAACAACAATAATTATGTAAGGGAGAAGCAGGGGTAACACCTGGACCAGAAAGTCAAAATTACCATCACCAATGAGGAAGAAACAGACATTGTCTGACTCCAAATGTGAGAAGCACAAAGCAGGACCTATGCGGTATTCTGGCCAAGAATGCATAAGTGAATCCAATCACGAGCAAATATAATGCAAACCAAATGAGTCACATTCTATTTAAAATTGGGGAAAATACTATATTCTTAAAAATGTCAATGTATTTAAAGGACAAAGGAAGGCTATGGAAATTTTCTTGATTAAAAGAGGCTAAAAAGACATGACAACTAAATGCACTAATTCTAGACTGGATCTTGTACTGAAAGTGGGAAATATTATAAAAGACACTGTTACGGATTGAGTCATGTCCCCACAAATAAGTATGTTTAAGTCCTAATCACAGATGCCTATAAACATGATTGTGTTGGGAAATACAGTCTTTGAAGATGTTATCAGTTAAGTTGGGTTAGTTAAGAAAGTTAGATATTGTGATGGTTAAGACTGTGTGCCAACTTGGCTGGGCCGTGATTCTCAGTGGTCTGGCAGTTATGATGTAGTCTGGCAGTCATATGTGATGTGATCATCTCCATAATGAGATCTGATATAATGTGATCACCTCCATGATAGGATCTGCTGTGAGTAGCCAATCAGTGGAAAGGGAGTTTCATTGGGGATGTGGCCTGCATTCAATATAGGTGGACTTTCTGGCGAGGCTCGCTGGCTTTTGCTTGCTCTGGACCCTGCAGCTGGCTCCTGTTCATCTGACCTCTGGTTCTTGGGACTTGAGCTAGCAGCCTGCCTGCCAGTCTTGGGAGTCATCAGCCTCTGCAGTCTGGATCTTGGGTTCGCCAGCCCCTGCAGCTACGTGAGTCGGGAGAAGCCTCCAGCCTGACCCATGGAGTTGGAACTTTCCTATCTCTAGAGCCCTGTGAGCCATTTCCTTGATATATATCTTTCTCTCTCTCTATGTGTTGTACATATCTATATATAGACACTTTACTGGTTTTGCTTCTCTAGAGAACCCAGCTAAGACAGGTATGTTAAGTCCTAACCCAACCTAAGCAGTATCCTTATAAAAGAGAGGAGACACAGAGAGCTACACAGAAGACAGCCACATGATGACAGAGTTCTATTGCAGCTACAAGGTACAAGAAATACCAGGGATTACCAGAAGCTGGGAGAGACAAAAAGGGACCTTCTTCTAGAGCTTCCAAGAGAACATGGCCCTGCCAACACCTGAACTCGGACAACTAGCCTTCACAACTGTGAGAAGATAAACTTTTGCTCTTAAAGCCACCCAGCTGGTGGTACTTTGTTATGGCTGCCCTAGAGACTCATGGTTTGTGGTACCAGGGACTGAGGTGCTGTTGTAACACAAACCTAAGAATGTGGAAGTAGCTTTGGAATTGGATAAAGAGTAGAGGCTGGAAGAATTTTGAGGCGCTTAATAGTAAAAGGTTAAATTGCCTTGAAAAGACTGTTGGTAGAATTATGGACATTAAAGGTGATTCTAGTGAGAGCTCAGGAAGAATTAAGGAGAGCTGTAGAGAAAGCTTCTTTCATCGCGTCAGAATGCTGCTAAAAATGGTGATGTTATATGTGCTTCTGGTAAGGCCTTAGACAGAAGAGATGAACATGTTACTGGACACTGAAGAGAAGGAGATCCTTGTTACAAAATGGCAAAGAATTTCACTGAATTATGTTAGAATGTTTTGTGGAAAGTAGAACTTGTAAGTGATGAACTTGGATATTTAGTGGAAGAGATTTCTAAGCAAGTAGGGGAAGATGCAGCCTGTTTTCTCTTTACGGCTTATAGTAAAATATGACAAGAAAGGTATAAATTAAGAAATAAACTATTAAGCAAATAGGAACTAGAACTTGAAGATTCAGAAAACTCTCAGCCTATCCATATTGTGAACATTGAAAAAGCGTGCAACGGAGAGAATACCAAAAGAATGGCTGGACAACTGTTTGCTAAAGAGATCAGATGTCTGACTTACCGATCCAAACGACCAATTCAGCAGAAAAGCTGCCGGCTTAGACTGCAGGGCACAGAGACCGGATGAAATGAAGTAAGGCTGTAAGACTACTGGGATTCTACAGGCAGGAAATGGGCCAGTGGAGCTGCCTGGCTGTGAACATCTGTTGTCCTTCAAGAAAAGGGAGCAGTAACCCTGAGGGTGGCTCTGAGATTGCTGGGGTTGCTGCAGCCACCGTGGGTCCAGACGGCATCACCCAGGGGGCAGGGCTGTGGCCTCCTCAGTTCCAGAAGGTAGGGTCGCCTCTATGGTTTTAGACGGCAGGGCCACCATCTTGGTTGCAGGGGTTGGGGCCATAGCCCCAATGGGCAAGAGGGGTAACTGCCCTGGTGGGCAAGGAGAAGGGCACCAGTGTCCAGGCCAGGCATGTGAAGCCACTACCCAGGAGCTGGCATGAGGGGAGGGGTCACCCTGTTAGAACTGGGGGAGTGGGGCTGCCACCAAAAGGGACGGCGGACAGGGCCACTAGCCAGGGCCCATGGTAGGAATGCTGCCAGGGTGAGTCTAATGGACAGAGAATTATTTTCAAGCCTTGAAATCTTATGAAGTTTGCTCTCCCAGCTTCCTTAGAGCCTCCAGGGAGAACATGGTTCTACTAACATCCTGAAGCTACCTAATTTGTGATACTTTGTTAAGCAGCCCTAGGAAACTAATACAGACGCTATTAGGTCAACTCATAAACTTGGAATATGAATGGTAGCTAAAAAAAAAAGTATATCAACGTTAAGCCTGTGAAACTGATAAGTGTATCACGTTTATGCATTTCTTAGAAAATGTAAGACACCTTCAAACGGTTTAGGAAGCGTGTGTGTGTTTGAGTGGAGACAGATAGAGACAGAGACTGATTTTGATTAACTGAGGGAGAAAATGACAATGAGACAGAAAATGAGAATGAAAAACCAAATAGGGTATAATGTTATCAACAGGTTAATCTGTGTAAAGGATATACACTGGTAATATTTGGATTATTTTTGTTTCTGAAAATTTTTTAAGCCTGAATTTTTCTTTTTTAAAGTAGATCTATCCACTAAACAATTAAGCATGATAAGGGAACAGGGTAGAATAATTTCTCATTAAAATTCAGTATTTCTCATAAAGAACAGTACTATTTCAATATTACCCTTAATATCTGGTACCAACTGAACAGTACATTGTATAGCAGAATATGTGCCAAAAGTTTTAAAAAAATGACAAGTTAGGAAATAAATTTAATCATCAAACTAACAATAAAACATGGTATTTTAGAATGATTGTGCTACTACACAAGAGAGATATCCATCTGGACTGGGAATACATGTATTTACATCTTGTGGTAAAAATTAATGCTTCTGTATTACTGCTAGCATAAAAATACTTTGAAAATAATTGGTTACAATTGTTCACCGGAGAAAATACCAATGATATTGGATGGGGGAAATAGCTCCAAGACTTCCACAAAGAGATTAACTAACCCATCAACATTCTGGTTCATTTCCTTCCAGAATGAACTACCTATATACTAATATACTCTTATTAAAAAAAAAAAAAAAGAACCAAATCCATTACCGTTGAGTAGATACCAACTCATAGCAACCCTATAGGACAGAGTAAAACTGCCCTGTAGGGTTTCCAAGGAGCAGCTGGTGGATTCGAACTGCCGACCTTCCGGTTAGCAGCCTAGCTCTTAAACACTGTGCCACCAGGGCTCCAATATACTATTGTACCTATATACTAAAACTAACTTTTAAGCTTTAAAATAAAATTTCAGATCAAACCATAAGCACTATTTTTCTCACCTATTTTTCTGCCTGTTACACTCTGACCTGCATTCTTCGTCAACTACTGTTGCTAGTCATTGTTTGGCACAGTGTATTTAATTAGTCTACTATTTTTAGACATATGATTTGTTTATAATTTTTGCCATTAAAGTGAATGTTATTTAAAAAAACTCTATGACTAAGAATTTTAATCATCACTGATTATATCTTAAGTTAAATTCTGAGAAACGGAACTGTTAAGTCAAAGTACATACAATAAAGACATGTGACACACATTGCTAGAATGGTTGTGCCAATTTAGAGCCCCAAAGGTAGTACATGCATGTGCGTATTTTCTGAGGCACTTCATGAAAAGTGGGTACTTTCATTGGCCTAAAAGATAAAAATTAAACATCTTCTTTTTAGAGTTTCTTTGGTTACTAATACCGTCAAAGAATTTCAATATATTTACTAGCATCTGAAATTACTTTTTCCCTAAATCATATACTTTTTAATGGTTTTTAGAATATAATGATATTATTCAAATTGAAGGGACATGGTGTCGCATTCGTTGTTAAAAGAACACTTCAAGATCTATCCTGAATTACAACACTGTCAGTGATAGGATAAGATCCATACGTGTACAAGGCAGACCAGTTACTACCAATATTATTCAAATTTATGCACCAACTGCTAAGGCCAAAAATGAATAAATTGAAGGTTTTTTACCAACTTCTGCAGTTTGAAATTGATGAAACATGCAATTAAGATGTATTGATAATTACTGGTGATTGGAATGCAAAAGCTAGAAACAAAGAAGTATTGGTAGTTGAAAGATATGACGTTGGTGATAGAAATACCTGACATTGCATGACAGACTTTCGCAAGACCAACGATTTATTCATCACAAATACCTTTTTTTCAAAAGCATAAATAGCGACTATACACATGGACCTTGCCAGATGGAATACAGACGAATCAAATCGACTACATCTGTGGAAAGAGACAATGGGGAAGCTCAATATTATCAGTCACAACAAGGCCAGGGGCCGACTGTGGAGCAGACCATCAATTGCTCATATGCAAGTTCAAGCTGAAGCTGAGGAAAACTAAAACAAGTCCATGAAAGCTAAAGTAAGACCTTGAGTATATCCCAGCTGAATTTAAAGACCATCTCAAGAATAGCTTTGACATGCTGAACACTAATGACCGAAGGCCAGAGTTATAGAATGACATCAAGGATATCATACATGAAGAAACAAAAGGTAAAGGTCATAAAAAAGACAGAAAAGAAAGAAAAGACCAAAATGGATGTCAGAAGAGACTCTGAAATTTGCTCTTGAATGCAGAGTAGCTAAAGTGAAAGGAAGAAATGATGAAGTAAAAGAGCTGAACAGAAGACTTCAAACAGCGGCTCCAGGAGACAAAGTAAAGTATTACAATGACATGTGCAAAGACCCAGAGTGAGAAAACCAAAAGGGAAGAACACACTCGGCATCTCTCAAGCTGAAAGAACTGAAGAAAAAACTCAAGCCTCCAGGTGCAATCCTCAAGGGTTCTATGGGCAAAAAACTGAATGATACAGGGAGCATCAAAAGAAGACGAAAGGAATACACAGAATTACTGTCTCAAAAAGAACTGGTCAACGTTCAACCATTTCAGGAGGTAGCATATGATCGAGAACCAATGGTACTGAAGGAAGAAATCCAAGTTGCACTGAAGGCACTGGCAAAAAACAAGGCTCCAGGAATTGATGGAATACCAACTGAAATGTTTCAACAGAAAGATGCAATGCTAGAAGTGCTCACTCATGTATGCCAAAAATTTGGAAGACAGCTACCTAGTTAAGCAACTGGAAGAGATCCATATCATGTCTATTCCAAAGAAAGGTAATCCAATGGAATATGGAAAATTATCAAACAATATCATTAACATTACATCCAAGTACCATTTTGCTGAAGATGAGTCAAAAATGGTTGCAGAAGTACATCGACAGGGAACTGCCAGAAATTCAAGCTGGATTCAGAAAAGGATGTGGAACAAAGGCTATCAATGCTGATGTCTCAGATGGATCTTGGCTGAAAGCAGAGAATACCACAAAAACACTTACCTGTGTTTTACTGACTATGCAAAGGCTGTTGGAACAGAACAAGGCGATACTGCATGGTTTAAAATCAAGAAAGGTGTGCATCAGGGTTGTAGCCTTTCACCATACTTATTCAATCTATGTGCTGAGCAAATAAACCAAGAAGCTGGACTATATGAAAAAGAACAGGGCATCAGGATTGGAGGAAGACTCATTAACAACCTGTGTTATGCAGATGACACAAACTTGCTTGCTGAAAGTGAACAGAACTTGAAGCACTTACTGATGAAGATCAAAGACCACAGCCTTTAGTATGGATTACACCTCAATATATATAAAAAAAAAAAAATCCTCACAACTGGACCAATAAGCAACACCATGATAAACAGGAAAAACAATGATGTTGTCAAGCATTTCATTTTACTTGGATCCAAAATCAACGCCCATGGAAGCAGAATCAAGAAATCAGACAATGTATAGAATTGGGCAAATCTGTTGCAAGACCTCTTCAAAGTGTTAAAAAGCAAAAATGTCACCTTGAGGACTAAGGTGCACCTGACCCAAGCCATGGTGTCTCCAATCACCTCATAGGCATGCGAAAGCTGGACGATGAATAAGGAAGACCAAAGAAGTACTGATGCTTTTGAATTATGGCGTTGGTGAGGAATAGTGAATATACCATGGACTGCCAGAAGAACAAACAAATCTGTCTTGGAAGAAGTACAGCCAGAATGCTTAAAAGCAAGGATGGTGAGACTTCGTCTCACGTACTTTGGACACATTATCAGGAGGGACCAATCCCTGGAGAAGGACATCATGCTTGGTAAAGTAGAGGGTTGGTGAAAAAGACGAAGACCCTCAATGGGATGGATTAACACAGTGGCTACAACAATGGGCTCAAACACAGCAATGAGTGTGAGAATGGCACAGGACTGAGCAGTGTTTTGTTCTGTTGTGTATGGGTTCGCTATTAGTTGGAACGGACTCAATGGCACTTAATAATTATTGTGAAAGTCATTTGTGTTCACTTAACTCAGTCCAAGTTCAATTTACATCTCATAGCTATCAAACAGTTTTCTCTAAGCGAGGAGAAATGGTCCACAGAGAAATAAATATATATATATACACACACACACACACCTACACACACCTGTAGCCTTATTACAATGCTCTAACAAACCAATCAGCCTATTATTGAAATTATGAGGAATAAAAACATACATGAACATCTGTTCTATCAGCAATCCACTTTGCTAGTTGTTCAGCTGCAAATCCAATTCTTTGAAGGTCAAATGTATCAGCTCTTTTGGGTCTGCCTTTTGGAGGAAAATGCATGAATGTAGGAGCAGAGTTCATATTGAGCTGTAAAACATGAGATTAAAAAGTACTAAATATAACATCATCCCAGCATTGTACATATATCATTAATCTAACCTTTTTTATTTTGTCTTCCTGAATTTTGGAAAGATAGCATTTAGTATGAAAATCCAAGTGACCTTCCAGAGCTTAATTATTTTTGTTCATCTTAATACATAATCTATTAAATGAAAAGAACCTGTGAATCTAAGTTCTCTGAACTGTTGTAATATGCATCGTTCATATTTTCAGGTGTGTCCTTTATATTTTACCAGCTACTTCATTCTTTTTCTTTCTAGAACTCTGTAATAAGAAAGAAGTTGCAACAAGAGCAAAAAATAAACACTGTAATTTGCAGTACAGGGACTACTTCACTTCTTAAGTAGTTAGTAAACTACTAGTATCTTGATTAAAAAAAAAGTACATTATGGATTCAACATATTTAAATAGACTGAATTCCCTATTAAAAATTTAAAGGCCTTTTTTTTTTTTTTTATAATGATGACTTCGGTATGGTACAATTTACCAGTGACTGGAGGAGAAATTCATAGTGGTAGTCCTTTCTGCTCAAGTCCTCAATTATTTCAACTGTTTTAAAATAGCTATACCTCAGAATTAATTATTTTCTGTAGGTAATTTCCATTTTGTGCTTATTAAATAGTGCTTATTAACAATACAACATATAAAAACATATAGTAGGTGAATTTGCATTGTGGAGCACACTACAAATATATATACACACACACACACACACATTAAATTTCTCTTGCCCAGATATAAAAATCTATTATGAAAAATGTCTTAAAATGAATGGCCAAGTGATTGTTGGCCCCTTACTTGCAATAGTTCAGCATTTCCCAATAGTGACAATGAAAAGCAAAATCAAATCAAATAACACACACATAAGATCACAAGTGACATCAAAGTAAGGATACAGCAGCAAAAGATCAGCCACCATTAACAACAAAGTACTACAGTCAACACCCAAACAGCTCCTGGTTTATAAATGAACTCTGACCATATCTGTCACCTTTAGAGGACAGCTCCAAATCATTTTATAAAGCTTTATATACTTAGCACAAATGAGCTGAATACCTAAAAGAAATGTGTCTCTATCAAAGATTTTTCATTTTTTAGTATTGCAAATGTAATCAAATTTCCATTACTCTCTTCCTGGTTATTTACATTAACACTCTTCACACAGTACACGTATAGATCAGCAGTGGGTCCATGTTTAAGCAGTTCTTCTCTCCAAGAGAATACCTACTTTACCTTCTCCCCTGCCCCCCTCCCAGTTTCTTTTGGTCTTCATTCTTTTACCCAACCATAAAGAACATAAAATTTAACCAACTTCAGAAAAAGGAAAGTAGCTGTAGGGGGAAAAAAGAAGGCCGTGTGCAGTACAATTGCTAATGTCATATAATACTGCTAATAATAATAATAATAATGATAAATAAAGGAGCCTTGCTGATGCAGAGGTTAAGAGCTCGGCTGCTAACTGAAAGATTGGCAGTTCAAATTCACCAGCCACTCCGCGTGAGAAAGATGTGGCAATCTGTTTCTGTAAAGATTCCCAAAAACCCACTTCCATCGAGTCAATGTCTATTCATCGTGACCACATAGGAGAGAGTGGAACTGCCCCATAGGGTTTCCAAGGCTGTAATCTTTATGGAAGCAGACTGCCATATCATTCTCCCGTGGAACGGCTGGTGGGTTCGAACCGCCGAACTTTCAGTTAGCAGCTGAGTGCTTTAACCACGGCACCACCAGATTACAGCCAAGGAAATCCTACGGGGCAGCTGCACTGTGTCATATGGGGTCACTGTGAGCCGCAGCTGGCTCCACGGCCCCTAAAAACAGCAGCAACAATACTCAACAGAGAAGCCCTGGGTGTGACAAACATTAAGAGCTCGACAACTAGCTAAAAGGTCGGCAGTTCAAACGCATCCAGAGATGTCTTGGAAGAAAGGCCTGGTGATCTACTTCTGAAAATCAGCCACTGAAAACCCTATGGAACACAGTTCTATTCTGACATGCACGGGGTTGCCATGAGTCGGAACTGACGTGATGGCAAGTAACGACAACAACAGTAAATATTTAATAAACATTCATGTGCCAAGCCTAGAGCTAAGCATTTTACATAAATGAGGTCTCATTTAATCGTCCTATGAGAAAGGCACTATTACTTTCCCTCGCTTACAGACGAGAAGACACGTATAAAAAGACTGAGCAATTTATGAAGGTCATACAGCTATCAAGAGAGAAAGATGGAAGGTGTGCTAAAGTCTTCTGGCTCTAGACACTTCAGTGCCGCTGTATCTTAATGTTTTTGAACTCAACCTCTTTAAATAAAAATTTAATAATATTTTTGTCATAAGCAATTTTTTACACAACTTAGAACAAGTTCATCAGAAGACCAAATTATAAAAACAAGTTATTATAATACAGTACAAAATGTACACAGACTGTAACAATATACTAACAATATGCGTCTCTGTACAACAGGAGTCCACCTTATTCCAGTTCCCAGAAATGAGCTTGCGTAAGCGGACATTTAGGAAATGTTGAAGGAAACACGGTTACCAGTTCCTTTCTGCCCCTGCTTTCCCCACCCCAGATTCTGATCACGTGTGTTTCGCTGAGGGATGCACAAAAAAGAGCTACAATCAACGTGTAAATACGAGATTCAAACCAAAACAAACCTGTTGCCATCGAGTCGATTCCGACTCACAGCGACCCTATAGGACACAGTAGAACTGCTCCATACGGTTTCCAAGGAGCAGCTGGTGGATTCGAACTGCCAACCTTTTGGTTAGCAGTCAAACTCTTAACTGCCATGCCACCAGGGTTTCCAAAATACAAGAGTACAAGGGAAAAAATTCATATAAAAGCTTAACATCCTAGAATTTTAAAGTTTTAAAAAAATTATTATAATTCAAAGGATTTCTCTTAACTAAAATGTACAAATACCCCAAGGCTACAGAAAGCAGAGTTAGAACATAAACCTGATTCCAAGTCAGAGCTCCTTCCAACACATCATACTCGCTGACCTGCTGGCCCGTGTCAGACACTCAGCACCAGCCACATACAAGGGACTCAGCTATAGTGTGATTTTCCCAACAGGTCGCTAACAAGACAGGAATTACCAAGTTTCTGCACTTGCTATTACTGTTGTTTTTAGACACCACACTATTGCTGACAGGGCTTTAAAACATAATTTAGAGAATACTTCAACAAAATGTGATTCAATAGTTAGTAGGCGAAAAAAGTATAAGCATTAGAGATCTTTATGTAAGGCAGGTAAGGCAAAATATGTATTTCTCTCCTATTTTTGTAGATCATGATTCCCCATGAAAATCATTAACTGCTCTAACTTTTATGCATATCTGCATATTGAGAAGAAAACTTATTGCTAAGCCAGGGGCTAGGTTTTAGAAAAGAAAAATCAGTTCTGTGCGGAGAATTCTGCTGAATCAAAATTCACCTGAGGAAATTTTCCATTAAAAACAATCTCTGCCAAACGTTTTCTTAAAAGTTTATGTCTAAAGTACATAAAAGGATTCAATGATTATATCTAACCACGTAGTTATGTGGCTATATACTGGCCATATAGTCAGTAATCCACCCAAAGGGTTCGTTTTATTATTTTTTTAATCTAAATTAACTACCAAAAATTTAAAGATAGAGAAAATTCAATAAAAATATCCGTATTTGAGTCTTTTCTTGAAACAAACCTGGCTCCATGTGGTGTCCACTGCCTCAAATGAGCTAATTCTGAGCTGTATTTCTCCTACTGAGGCCAAGGGCATCCTCTCCAGTTTGCTGCACACACCACACCATGCTATTTACTCGACAATGAGACCAAGTGTCAGCTGTCATGATGCTCTGAAGGTTTTATTTCTTATAGCAGTTAGGAGAAAACTGAATCATGAGTGTTTCTATTAAAGATCTTTAGAAAAGACCAAGAAAGATTTTGTTTGAATAAAAATGGAAGAAAGTATATTTATTCATGCAAGTAAAGACCTAACATAGGAATATACTAAGTACGTACATAAACAGAGATACCACAATGAAACCAACCCGATTCACTTTCTTCATTTAGTCTTTAGGGTAGTCTGGCCAGAGTAGGTAACTGGGCTTGAAGCCTCTCAGCCAGCAGTCAGGGTGGACCTGGATGACTATTTGGTGATACGGTAAAGAGGATTCAAGTATACGTATAACGAATAGCACTTCCATCAGATGATCTCTGAGGCCATTTGTCCTGTGAGTCTATGGAGACCTATAAATTCTTTGGTTCTTGCAGCACTGTAATTTTCCTTTATAAGGTTATCTGAAATTATATATTTGTTTATGTGTTTTTCTTTATTATATTATTATTATCGTCACCATCATTACACATGCTGAATCATTATTATCATCATTATACTTACTGAATAGACGAATACAAACAAATATCCTGTAAAGGCAAAATAAATTTATAAGGGAAGAAATACTTTCATAGCAATAGGAAAGACCAAGGGTAAAGGGTACTCAAGGCAGAAAGAGAGAATTCATCTTACTCAACTAGAACCTGGCAAAGAGAATGAATAACCAGTCTAGAAGCAAACAGGCAAAAACACACACTAATGGCCCATTGACAATTAGTGAACTACATTCTTCCCAGAATTAAAGGCTTTTCCATGACCTGCTACAGCACTGTGCCAAACGGTCTCACGTGTGAGAAAAATTAAGTAGGACAAGATATCCAAACCCATCAGTCTCAGGTACTGCAATAATTTTTTGCATTTGAAAGGCACTGATCAAGTAGTGAAAAATATGAAAAATTAATAACTGCAAGGTAACAGCATGGTTAACACCTAGAGCTCGGGGTGTCTGACTACTGGATTCAAAGTCAAACCCCATACTATACCAACTTTGCAACACTGGGCGAGCGACCTAACCTCTCCATATCTTGGTTTCCACATCTGTGAGATGGAGAGAACATCAATTAATGTTTGTCACTGGATTGTTGTGAAGATAAAGAGTCCACGTGAAACGTTCAGAACGGCGTCTGGCACGTAGGCACTCAGTGTTAGTGATGAGGATACAGGCACGGTGATAACATTGACGGAAAGCATTATGCCTCCGCCACATCTCAACACATACTTTGCTCCACAGAAAAGACCACGTAAACGAGAGCGAGCCCTTTCCAATAGGTATTTTAAAACTTTACTCGTAAAAGTCTCTCAATCTACCGCACTGGAAGGAATAAGGGTTAAGTTAAACTTGGGTAGAGTTTTACATAAAATTTAAGAAGTTTGAGCAAAATCTCACCTATATCACATATAAGACTAAAATAACATTAATAAATATAAACTCCCACTGCGTGCTGAAAAAACACATTTCCCCTACAATGCAAAAGTCAAAACGTGTTCACCGCACTAACGGCAAAATTGTACAAGCAATGATAAAGTTAACATTAGCTGTGATTATTTTAATGACATCACAAAACTTATTATAAATATTTATATTTATCAACTTATTCAATGAACTGCATTTTTATCTGGCAAAGCAAAAAAAAAGTATCAATCATAGCCACCTGTTAAATATATTACCGAAATAAAATATAGCACATTTACCTGTTGAAAAACATCTGTCCCCTCGTCATAGTCCACCATACTAAAGAAGAGTTTGTTACAGAAAGCAGATGAATAGCGCCAGGAGTTAGCCAGTATCTGATATTCTTCATTAGCTTGCCTGATGAAGACAATGGGGCAGAGGAGGAGCATATGAGTATTCAAGCATTAACCAAGCTGTTAATAAAACAGGTAATTCTAGGGCAGGAGTCGGCCAACTGTAGCCTGTGAGTCAAATTCAGGTCATTGCCAGTTTTTGTAGGAACCCCAAGATAAGAACGATTTTACAGTTTTAAATAGTTGTTAAAAAAAAAAAAATTAAAAGAACAACAACATTCCGCGGCACATTAAACTACAGGAAATTCCAGTTTTAGCATTCACAAAGTTCTCCTGCAACACAGCCACAGTGGGTCATTTATGTATTGCCTGGGGCTGCATCTGTGCCATCAGGACAGAGTTTAGTAGTTACACAACAGAGTATGTACCGCCCATGGGCCCAACCCCTTAAACAGTCTGGTAACGCTTGTTCTAAGAGGAAAAAAAGTTTGGAAGCATTTTTTATGGTAACATAAAACTCAGATCCTCCAATGATTTCTGAGTAAAGGGCATAGAGCAATTTTTTAAAATATTGGTAGTTTAGTTTAATAGAGAAGCAAAAATTATCAGGAAATTTTAGTTTCAAAATTGTAAATAGTTATAATGTACCTTAATATATTCCATTTATCTAAAAACACACCTGCACTCAAAGCTAAAGCAAGCAGAAATCTCTCTGAGCACTAAACCATGAATCTGTTTACCTGATTGCATGCGTTATACCCCCTAGGAGGGCTAATAAACCCTCCTCCTCGGAGAGCATGTCTACTCTTACTTTACACCCATTTCTAATGACCATTTTGCTGATTCTCCAGATGTCTAAGCTTTATATTTAAGTGCAGGGATAAAGTAGAGATGGGGAAATGAAGCTGCTGAAAGAATGTAAGCAAAATAATAAAAGCAAGAAGTAATAAATAAAGGCTAAAAGAAAAGGAAAACATCTGACGGCGCTTCTTCCCTACAGCTGACTATTCACAAGAGTTCACCTCCCCCGTCACCCAAAAAGGCAGTAAAGAAACAAAAAGGGAATAAGCTCATAATAACAAAAAGACTTGGGGTGGAATCAATCGCAGATGAGAGATTTCAACAAATTTCTGCGAAACAAAGCTAGCAGAAGAGTTCTGATAGAGGAAGAAACTTTAACTAATATACTTAGAAAAGAGTCAAAAAGATACGTTTGTCAAAGCTGAGCAGGGTCTGAGATTTTACCTTACGTACAAGCTAACAAGCTAGGCTATTACTGTTTCATGGATGCTGGCAGGAAACATGAGACTCCTGGGTCAGAGACGAAGGACTTGATTACTTCATGTTCCTTTGCCTCAGTCCAACATGGCCCAACTCTCAAGGGTGACACAAGGGGTCCTGCATGGAAGTCTGCACACACGATGGACTGTGTTACAGGAGAGGAACAATGAGCTTGGGGAATTCACTGTTTTGATAGAAAAATGAAAACAAAAGCCTGTGCTTTGTCAGGTGGGAGACATTCTCTCTTCCCTTAAGGCTGCTCACTGCACAAGCAAGGCTGAGAGACTGCACAGGTAAAGACATTCAGGCCTTTACATTGTCAGCACGCTCAGCAAGAACACACAGGGATGCTCGAGGCCCACAGCAGGCTGTTTCTACCAAGAGTATTCACAAAAAAAGGACGGTATTGTATAAAAATGAAACATAGAAAGGGAGAGCACTTATAAATTTAAAATGATTGTTTATCTTACACATCACTGTTAGAAAATAAAGTTAAATAAAATCACAGAACAACAACAAAAATAAAAAAGCTGGAACATATGGGGGGTGGGGGGGAATGGACCGAGAGAAATATTCAAGTCCAACTTTCAGAAGGAGTCCCAGAAACAGAAGAGAGATAAAACAGAGGAAATGATATGTCTAGAGACATAATTAAAGGAGACTGTCTTCAAATTAAAAGTATTCTCCAAGTTCCGAATTAGAGGAATCAGCAAAGACCAACACCTAGACATGTGATATTTTAGAACACAATAGATAAAAAGAAGATCTTAAAAGTTTTCAGAGACTAAAAAATATTACTTAACAAGTGAAAATAATGAGATTGGTATGCCGTTGTTAGGTGCCGTGGAGTCAGTTACGACTCATAGCAGCCCTCTGTACAACAGAACAAAACACTGCCTGGTCCTGCACCATCCTAACAATTGTAGTTATGCTTGAGCCCATTGTTGCAGCCATTGTGTCAATCCATCTCATTGAGGGTCTTCCTCTTTCTCACTGACCCTCTATTTTACCAAGCATGATGTCCTTCTCCAGAGACTGGTCCCTCCTGATAACATGTCCCAAGTAAGTGAAACATAGTCTTGCCATCCCTGCTTCTAAGGGGCATTCTGGTTGTACTTCTTCCAAGACAGATTCGTTCATCCTTTTGGCAGTCCATGGTGTATTCAATATTCTTCACCAACATCACAATTCAGAGGCGTCAATTCTTCTTTGGTCTTCCTTATTCATCGTCCAGCTTTCACATGTATATGAGGCAACTGAAAACACCATAGCTTGGGTCTGGTGCACTTTAGTCTTCAAGGTGACATTTTTGCTTTTTAACACTTTAAAGAGGTCTTTTGCACCAGATTTGCCCAATGCAATGCGTCTTTTGATTTCCTGACTGCTGCTTCCATGGGTGTTGATCGTGAATCCAAATAAAATGAAATCCTTGAAACTTCAATCTTTTCTCCATTTATCATGATGTTGCTTATTGGTCCAGTTGTGAGGATTTTTGTTTTCTTTCTGTTGAGGTGTAATCCATACTGAAGGCTGTAGACTTTAATCTTCATCAGTAAGTGCTTCAAGTCCTCTTCACTTGCAGCAACCGAGGCTGTATCATCTGCATAATGTGGGTTGTTAACAAGTCTTCCTCCAATCCTGATGCTGTTTTTCTTCACACAGTCCAGCTTCTCCGGTTATTTGCTCAGCATACAGATTGAATAAGCGTGAAAGGATACAATCCTGACGCATACCTTTCCTGACTTTAAGCCACACAGTATCTCCTTGTTCTGTTCCAACGACTGCCTCTCGATCTGTGTACAGGTTCCTCACAAGCACAATTAAGTGTTCTGGAATTCCCATTCTTCACAATGTTATCCATAATTTATTATGATCTACACAGTCAAATGCCTTTGCATAGACAAGAAAATGCAGGTAAACATCTTCCTGGTATTCTCTGTGTTTAGCCAGGACCCATCTGACATCATCAATGATATCCCTGAGATTGGCATAGGATTGGTCATTAGCAACACTACATACTGGCAGATAATAGAGCAATTCCTTCAAAGATTTGAGGGAATATTATTTTCAACCTAAAATTCTATATTGACTCAAGTAATCAATTAAAAGATATGAGAAAGCAGTGGTCCAACTATGAAGCTATGAAACATCTAGTAAATATTTAATTGGACTACAAGGTGAAAAGAATAGATTCTAGGCAAAGTTAATTCAGAAAGAGTTGGAAGATATTAAGTTGGAAAATACTGAGATGTATTTGTTCTCACAACAGGAAAAAAGACCAAAAAAAAAAAAAAAAGAGCATAAAGGCAAGGTCCAGACAAGAAGCAAATTAAAATATATCATAATTTTGATCAATTGGTTATGAGAAAGGTTAATTGTTTTTAAGATTTTCTTTTGAGCAGCACAGGGTCATAATGACCTTACTGTAGAGAAGGAACCACAATCATGATCTACGACTTTGCAGCGGATATTATTTGTGTGGAAATAATAACATAATGCTATTTCGTAGTTTTCAGCTTTCTAAATTAACCTAAAGGTGCAATTATGGTTACAGTATAAATGTAAATGCTATCAACTATGACAGTATAGAAATACAATTAACAGGAGTTGGCAGGTGAAACGAAAGAAGAAGAGGTGAAGGGGAAGGACAAGCTTGCTAATCTTCATGGTACGAATTAAGGAACCAAGAAATAGCATCTATAGTAATGGACAAGAAATAGAAGGGTGGTATTACTGTTACAAAGGTAAAAGTGATGAAAATTGGGGGTGACATGACTTAAATGTGCACATAGCATACCAAGAATGAAAAGATGAAGGTCACTGTCAATAAATTAGGAAACACTGTTAAGAGAATAACATTTAGAGATCTGAAGAAATCACCAGAAGTAGCAGACACAAAGCAATTATAGTACACCTACTCCTCACTTATCGACTACCTCGTTATCTGACATTTGACATTTTCAACAATAGTAAAAAATCTACTATTCGACTATTCTGCACATTAACAATGTATGTCTGGCAGTAACGAATGCTGAGGTGCCAAGGCAAGAGTAACATTGGCCTGTGATGGATAAGGTTATGTGTCAACTTGGCTGGGTCATGATTTTCTGTAATTTGGCAGTTATGTAATGATGCAATTCGGCAGTTATGTAATGATGTACTTTGGCAGTTATATACTGATGTAGTCATCCTCCATTTTGTGATCTGATGTGGTCATCCTCCACAGATTTTCACACAGTGACCTGGTTTTTGGAATTTAACCATGTTGGTAAGTGAGGAGTGTGTGTAATTGCCTTTAAACCATAAATCTGCAAACAAAAGAGTGCAAGGACCAGAAACTATATAGTTCTTCATTTTAGGTTCCTGTTTTCTTATTAACAAGGAGGACATAATATTGCAATGATTACAATATTTTTAAGAGAGCTACATATGAACAACACTAAAATCTGAGGTCATTCAGCATAAAGCAAAGATCTTAAGGGCATCATTTTATTACAGTATAGTACAAAAACTAATCACTGTAATGATCAGCATGACAGGAAACTACAGAGCATATTTTTAGAATTAAAATGAAAACAGTTACAAACTTCTAAAGCTCTTGTGGTTAAATAAGATTTAAAGCACTCTAATTCACTCAAAAACTGTTTACTGAGAACCTTATTATATAGCAGGAAGTAAGCTAATCTCCAAAGTTTCTGCTCTTACAAGTTGATGGTTTAGAGAAGAGACAGATAATAAACAAGTAAACAAATAAAAATAAATAAAGGCTAAAATACATGCTGA